GATACTGGATGAGAACGGCGATTTCGCAGATTAGGAGCACGCATAGCCTCCTGCGGCCGGTAAGGGCGTCTTCGATTAATGTTGCATTATCAAATTGTGGTAGCGTTTTGATACTCATAACAGCCTCCACAACCAACCATTTAGTGCACTCAGAACCATTGCACGGGCTATTCGCGTAGCAGCTGAGTGTGACCTGTAGGGTGGCTGAGCGGGGAATAGCTGAGGTTATTTGGGGATAGGTGAGGTGAAGGGGTACCATATTGGCGCGACCGACGCTCGCCTGAATAGGAGCACGCAGCGACTGCGGAGACCGAAGAATCCGTGGCTGTCATAAGATGGGGAGGACAGTAATCGATTCTCCATGACCAGATTTTAAACTTTTCATTATAAAAGTGCCCTGCGACTATATGGCGCGTTCCTACATTTGTTTGATTAGAAGGCACCGGTTAGTCACCATGAGAGCATCATAAACGCCTAAGACAATAGCCGCCCTGCCACGAGTTAAGAAGTGAGGCTCTGAAGCAGTTGCTTGAGCCCGGCGAAGCCGGGCTTCCAAGAAGGAGGAGAGCTCGGCATTAGCCGGGCGATCCGACTGGTAAATGTGATAAAGAGCAAGTGGAAGCTAACACCTGCAGCAGTATGTGTAACAACTATTGCGCTAGGAATCACGTACATGTTTGGGCCAATCACTATTGTGATAACTGCAAAATTAGTGATCTCAATCCTCCAATTTTTAATGAGGCTAATAAAAGATACGACCAAAAGAATCAAAGAATGGTCGGAAAGAATGCTGAAGTAACCCAGCATGCGGTATCAAATGCAGCACTGCACAAAACCGCGTTACTTCGCTACTAGAGATATCATATCCACCAACAACGACAACAGAATCTATCTTATCAAACGGCATCCATCGACACGAATCAACGCTCTACACCGCGTTCTCGTCGGAAAATTTCATCGGCTTTACTCAATAACCATTAATCGAAATGATGTTGATGATACCATATTTCATTACTGAATAGGTCTTGATAATTTGAACTACATTCATTGATGTATGTCGCTGATTTACGGGATTAGTTAATCATTTAAAGATTCGTTGATGCTACGTTTTGCTCGGGGCGCGCGGAGTGTCTGGCTCTGCGCGACCTCCTAGATATCATTATTTGCTAGAGAGTAGGTACCTCTTTGATAGCGTTATTTGTTAAGGGCGCCTCACCCCTCGATACCATTATTTGCTAGGGAGCTTCGTTTAGACTCTCTTAGTTATGCCTGATCTCTTCTATGCTCCGTTCTTTGTGATTTGTACTTGCTCCTCCGTATCAGCTCTTGGCCCCTATAAAGGGAGGTGCTCGCTGATACGGGCGCATTCGCCAGGAGTCGGTTCGAATAAACCTTAACAGAACCAGCTCTTTCTAGCACAAACAAAAGAGCCCCCTGATTGGGACAATCTCAATAGCGAACGAGCCCGAAGATTAGAGGTGTGCACCATCACCATCCATTACTCGACTCCAACGCTGAGGCAGCTTGTCGACTCCATCGTCCCAGAAGGACGGGGGCTGGGACCCGAAGAAGGCCACAATGCCGCACAGTCACCACTGTGACATGGTTTTGCACTGGTAACTGTGCGGCATTGTAGCCTGCAAATGCAGGGTGGGTGAGTGATAGCTAGTGTGGTGAAAGGGTATCATGACGTCACGCACAAGTGATGACGAAATACCACTCCATGCAAACGGAATACGGAAGGATGAGAATCAGAACAGGGGAAAAACTTATGCAACAGCCTAATATAATCATCCACGTGGAGTGTTCCGAATAACCGTGATGACTTCCTTCACTTCATTTTGCTCAAGTATTACACTGTCCTTGGTTTAGGAGTGTGCTGATATCTGACGCTATCTTCGTTTTCTATAATAGCTTAGCCTTCACCTTCTCAATATCACTATGCTCACCTTGAGAGCAGGTTGACTGTTCTTCAAGTTGGTGGGTCAGTCTGCGTGCCCGACCGCAGCGTGCTCTCCCGTCTGGTGTTTGACGTCGAGAGCGAGACGCAGAGAAAAAAACGGATTGGTTGTCCTAAGACCGGTAAATGGTGCCCTTTTTTCATAAGGAGCACTGTTTCAAACGTCCCATTCATGCGATGGCAGCCCAGACCATGAGACCACATCCTCCAAAGTTATCCCCGGAAAAATGAAACTTGTCTTCCCTCAGCTCGTGCCAGCGGAATCGGTTTTCGTCGGAACACTTGAATTTTTTCCCACCAGAAACCCGACCGCGAGAAAAAAAAACTGAAAAAACACTGCAGACAAGCAGTAGGGCACCGCAGCCAAAAGCCAACCTCACTCCATTGGGTTCGGCAACATCTTCG